GATTCACAGCTGCAGGACCCCTGAGGTTCACTTCCACCAAACCAGTGATGTGTGCTTCTTTCTTTCTGCGCCTTCATCCCTATCATGTAAATCTTGTGCAAATACTAGAGGTGGGAAGGCGTAAGGTGGATTTATGGATGCATAATGTGTCAGCATTTATCAGCAGTATGAAATTGACATGTTTATTCATGAAAGCTAACATGTCTCTTGTGAACTATTTTGCCTCATCAATTAATCATGAAATGATAATCAGCACATATATTTGGATTTACTTTAAACACAATTATTTTATCATGTATTATTACGCTAGGATCTTTTAATTTCATTGATCAGCTCAAGTTTGAAAAGTGTATTGATTGGTTCTTTATGTTATATATGACAAATTTTTTATACATATTTACCAGTTTTATATTACTGATTGTGTTTTTAGAGGTTTCTAATTCTTAGAGACCACAGATATTTATGCACCATGTATCATCTGCTGAGAAACATGCAGTCAATTAATTTCTGTATATGGATCTCAATGTGCTATGCTTTATTCTGGTAAATATCTGACAGAAGTTGCAGGATTTTATATCATTCTCGTCTGAATAATGTCTCCTTTCGATTCATTTTTGTGGTGGGGTAAAATGATCTCATAGCTTTAAATGTAAAAGGACCAGCAAGGGTTCATTTTTTCTTATACCAACAGGGGGCAGCATTGTATAGCACTGTTATAAAGTTTCTCCATTTCCTCCCATCATTCTTCTCTACATAATTTGGATAAAAAAGCCTTATTGCTTTTATTTTACATCTTAGACTGGAAAGAATCAGATTCATGCACAAAAATAGTTCAGCAGATGTGAAAGGTATTATTTTAAGTATGATTGTGTGAAACCCTTTAAAAATAAGACAGAAATTCCTGCAGCTGAGCTAGTTACAGTACTCTGTTTCAGTACATATGCAAAAACAGCTTAGAGGATTTGTTTTAAAGGTTTAAGGTAGACGTTTCACTTATGACTGTCCGCTACCAAATCTACATCAGCTGATGCCAAATAAAAGGAAAGGGAGGAGAAGCAATGAGTGAGAAATAACAGTGACCCAATATTGATAGGTGAATACAGGACGTTGCACTCATTTTAACATCCATTGTGATCTACCATTTCTTAACCCCCACCATAATGATATAGCAGGAAATGTAAATATTTTCTACCATTATCTTTAATTGGATTTCTTTCATAGTTCTCCATGTTTTCCAGCATTTCTAAAAGTTTCTATTCTGGAGTTTGTATGAAATAAGAACATGTAAGGCACCTTTAGCTTTTATGCTGTTGAGACAAACATAAAACAAAGAGCTTTAAGATCAAATGATGAAAATGTCAACCTTATTTATTATTACCCTTCAGCTTATACCGCTGGCTCTCTTTTATCAGTTTTATATTTGCCGAAGGCAAGCTTCAGGGGAAATCTATTTCAGGTTTTGCAGAATTGCACTCACTATAAATTTTTGCATTCTTGTTCAAGACAATGTTTTCTTTTACATTTGTGGTTAGAATGATGCTCAGTTTTTTGGTAGTTGCAGAGCAGAACTGCACTAATGATTATTTTTGTAGTTGAAAACTCTGTTTTTTTTTCTGTCATTAAAAAATGACACAACTGTCACTAGAAATATTTTAATTCAACTGACTGAAAATAATAATTAATGCATCTTTTGCATCTACTCAAGACGATTTAGTTACTTTGACACAATTGTTTCATGTCCTACCTCAGTTACATTAATCAATTCTGTTAAAATAACTAAATATGATGCATAGATGCTAAAGATGCATACTTTTTTTTTGTAGTTCTTCTGGTCTACACACATCTTTCTTTATTTTGTTGTGATGCCACTATCCTTTATTTAACAACTCTATAAATAAGCATCTATAAAATAAATTCTAAACATTATTCTCTGTAAAAAAAAAAATACTTTAAATTGCTAAAACAACATTATAAATAAATAGATCTTTCAGTCCTTAACTTTTATTTAAGCTCAGTGTTTATAGAAATTTGGATGACAGCATAGAAGGGTGAGCATATTAACATTTTCTGCATTTAGGATTTCTCTCTTTAGTGAGGCCATATTCTCAGCATTAATATAAGAATATTAAGATTGACAAAGTATTCATTCCCATATATGCTTTCATTTATCCATTGAAATCAAATAAAACTACCTTGCTATGTGGTTTCACATTTATTTTAATCATTAATCTAAGCAAATCATGAAACAATGAAATAAACCAAACATTAACTCTTAAGATTACATCTGAATTAAGTTTTAAACATTGTGTTCTAATAAACAGGCTTTCTTTGCAGCAATGGGAAACATACCGTAGATCAACTGATTAATTGAAAGGAAACAGAAGACAGCAGAAAAACTAACAAGGAAAGGACACTCAAAACTTTCTACTTCCTGCAATACATCCTCCAGGCGCGACATCATCAAACAGATTAAAAGCTGGCGTGGCGACACTGTTCCAAAGATTGCCTCTTCTGCTTTTGCATTTCCAGTTTTTTTCCATCCTACTAGAGCTTTAAAACCCAATGATTAAGAATCTTATTCAACTGGTTTATAGTTTGTCATTAAAATAACACTTTGAGACCATAGAGTTGTAACTTACAGAGGCTCAGTGACCAGAGAGGTAATCAATGTTAAATAATCAATATGCAGGGTAAAGGTCAGCATATTAAGGGTTACTATTCACTTAAACAATAATAATTTTATTGAATTCAGCATATATTTTAGGTTTTGTGGTCGATGACTGTGGATTTTAATTTGAACAATATTGTGTGCTTTCCTTAAATATGTATTGTCATAAATCTAGAAAAGCCTTTGGGGTTATTTTTTCATTAAGTATGATAAACAAAATCTAATTTCAGTCATATCTTGTCATATCACCACTTGATGAGTAAAACTTCTATGTTTTTCAGTCACACTATATATCTTTGGAGAAACCTTTAGAAAATGTGTAACCCACCCAACAACTTAGCTTTGAAACTTTATTTAGATTTTTTTTCTATTGACTTTACATTTTGCTAAATATGACTGTATGTTTTAGACTTAGAAAACTTTTATTATAACTTTTTTGTATCTTTTATGGTCATTTTTATAGACTTTCCCAGAAATACACACTTCCATGATGCCTAATTTGAATAATTACAAAAAGATTACCAGAGAAATCTGAATAGTTTGTTAGTTGTCAGTGTTTCCAGTTCAATTATCATTACCTCTACATTTAAAAAGTATTCAGGCCAACCAAATGAATATTTATCAAAAAAATCATCTAATGACAAAACTTAAAAAAAAAAAAACTATTTATTATTTGGGTGATGTAAGCTTTTGAAACCAATGTTTTATTTATCACTCAAAATGGTTGAAATGTAGATTATGTGACTATTTTAAGATATTTTAAGTTTTTCGAGCAGGCAAACATATATAATTATATCCCGAGCAGTCAGTACAACCAGAGTGGGAAACTGATCATGATATGAGATTTTTTCTTCTTTTTTTAAATGCTTCCTCATGCCAAAACCTTATAGGCTATTAATATCTGCGGGTCAGTTTGTCTTATTATTCTTTGTGTTCAACACCTGGCTTTAACTGAAATGTATACAAGTTTTAGTTTTGTCCAGTAGAGGGCACTGTGGCTGTGCATTAAATCTGCTCCTCTAAACCCAGAAGGAAACCAGATTATGTTATCAATTTATGAATTAATGCTGCTATAACATAAAAGCAAAAATGCAGAAATATGCATTTTGATCGACAAATTTTAAAAATGTTTAATAGATTTAATACCTAATCTCTTTATTTGATAGGGTTCTTTGGTCCATCATTTTGTGTCTGATTTTTTAGACTCTCAGACTTACTAAAGTGTTTGCAATTCAGGCAAAACCACCCTATTCACTTATTCATTATTCTGACTTCAGCTCAACTCTCACCTCAGGGAGAGGTTGTCTTCCTCTTCAGGTCTTTTGTTTCTTTCTTATCTGTTCTGCTTTCAATCCTGACTTGTCAAATTTCCTCCTCAAAGCTTGTTTGCTTGGAAATGTCAGCCATGGTGGTGATAGAATTTTGTAGTTACGCAACACATAATCTAGCCCCTCTCTCTCTCCTCTCTCTGTGTCTGTCTCTTTCTCTGTGCATGGGTGTTTGTGTCTGAAAGAGGCTTTACATTTGCATCCTGAAAATACCTTATCCAGCTGCTTGGCCTCCAATCATCCTACTCACTGGGATTAGGCAGGTTGCATTTCTTTATTTGGCAGAAATGTGCCAACAGAGGATTTAAGAAAAACATAATAGATTTAATAGCTTAGGGTTTGTATAAAATAACCTCTAGAGAGATGGCCATTCGACCAACTTCCTTTCTAACTATAAAAGTTACTTTTAGGTTTTAGAAGGAGGCAGATGCTGGTAAGAAGCGGAAAGACACTTCAGGGGTTAGAATAGCAACTCATGTAAAATTGAAAATATGCACTTTTTTGAACCTAATATGGAAATCACCCTTGCCTTCCCGCCTTCGTTTATCCTAAGTTTCCAGCGGAAATAATTGCCATGACCCTTCACAGACCTCGGGTCTCTCAATGGGAAGTGTGTTTAGGAAGTGTGTGTATGGATTTTAGATGCAGGAATTACAGTAAAAGTTGTACGGTTTTAAGGAAACCTGACAGGAGAGGTTTGCCAGGGACACACAGGGGAAAGAGCAGGGAAACAAAAACAGGATGGGTCTTTGGCTGAAATGGAACATTCTCAATCAGAGATGATGTTGAAAGAGAAAGTTGGTGACAGCAGAAAACTATTGTCTTATTGTCTCTGTTTTTCTAAGCAATAAGATGTTCATTAAACATTTTAAAATGTAAGAAATATATCTTTTTATGCAACAGAAGCTTGTGGTTCACTTAAATATATCTGCTTTATGAAAAATCTAATAAATTAATATAAAAGTAATGCATCTTTAATATTTTACTTTTGTCTCTCCCTGTAGCTGTGCAGTCGCTGAACAACATAAATGACCAGATTGCAAACTTTATGGTTACCAGACCCAAGTCCCTGGAACAGGAAGAGCAAGCCTATGCTCCTCCGGAGAAAGAGTCGCTGCAGAAGTCCATGAACCTGATGCGGCACCTCCTCGTTGATGCTCAGGTACAGAGTTTACTGTAGTAAAGAAAGAGTTGTGGTTAAAATAATTTGTAGATTCATGTTCACACTTTTGACTCTAAAATCTAAAGCTAGAATGAAAACTTTTTTTTTTTTGGTGTTTGACATGACCTCATAATGATGACAAATTTAATTGTAACTTATTGTAATCCTTTAAGTCCTAAACAAAGTAGTGCGTAGCAGTAAAAGTAAGTAAGTAAATAATGTTTATTTATATAGCCTTTCACAGACATAGAGGCCACAAAGTGCTTAACAAAATGACAAGACAAATGAAAATACATTTACAGTAACAATAGACATGGTCATAAAACAACCCTTAATCTACTAGAACTGAAATGCTTTCTTAAACAAATAGGTTCCCTCTTAAAAACATCAACAGAATCAAGTCAGTGCAAGAAAAGCGGAAAATCGTTCCAGAGCGCCGGCTCGACCTCCTGAAAGGAGCGATCTCCCCCTGGTCCACTAAGGAGTATGAGGGACCATGAGCAGGTTCAGGTCCTGAGACCTCAGCCTATGAGAGTTGGTATAAAGAGACAAGAAATCTATAATGTAGGAGGGAGCCTGACTGCGAAAGGCTGTGAAGGTCAGCACCGGGATTTTAAACTGGGACCAAAAAGAGACTGGGAGCCAAAAAAGAGCTTTTACAATCAGCGTAATATCAGCCCCTCTGTTTGTACTTGTCAGTAACCTCACCGCCGCAGCGTTTTGAAGTTTAATGAGACTTGAACATAGATACAGGCTTTTGCAAATAAAAAATCCCAAATGTTTGGCATGCATTTATGCTCGGGTCAATATTTTGCAAAATAGTTTAACCTCAGTCAGATTGGATGGTAACCATCCTTGAGCAGCAATTTCAAGTCTGGATTATAAAGTAGATTTGGGTCAGTGAATTATACAGTAGCAGCCATTCAAAATGGTCCCTCCCAGTCAAACGCCAGCCGAATGGCAGCCCACTTCCCTGCAACTCCCAGCAAAATCCCCTCCAACCTACAGCAACTGGAGTGACCCCTCCTTCCCATTGGGAGTGCATAATTTACTCTGACTCCACCCTTTCACTGAATTACAGGGTCTGACTAGGAGATAACGCTTCAATTTAGATCTTAATGTCCACAAATCATGACAGAAAGAATATTTTAGTACAAAGGTTAATGTTTAAAAAAGAAATGACAAGCCAAAGACCAACCAAGGACCCGACAAGGGCCCATCAAGGGAAGTGTATTAATTATATACAGTAGACTATTCTTCTACTTAAGCTTATGTTTTGTTGCCATGCCTTGTTTCATTTTTTGTAACCTCTAGCTGGTTTTCTTGGGGATTACCTGACTAATAGCTGTCCTGTCAGAATTCCCCACCAACTTGTGAATCTCTTCCGAAGCTACAATAGATGACCCAGGTGCTTCTCAGTTTAAGCCAGTTCTTTTATGGTCCTATTAGGCAAGCAGTGGTGTAATACTCTAACCCTGCTTTAAACTTCTCCTCAACTGAAAATCTGTCCTGTATGCTGTGTTCCTAGCTATTAAAGGTGCTGTTTGTGACAAACTCTCTCTTTGTACTGTACTTAGAACAGCTCTTTTTAAACTGAGTCTAAATTGCACAAAGGTGTAATCTACTCACTAGGTAGATAAACCCCATAACTAGTTGCTTTGATTTTATTAAGGAGGATTTGACTAAAAGTAGACTGCATACTAGTTCTCGGCATGTTTTTCAGGTTTTATATGAAATCGATTTGTATACTGTATATTATATCTTACTTTCACTCTAAAATTACCAAAGGTATGTCCAGTGTATTTAGAATAAAAGTAAAGGATTTAAAAAGTGAATGCATTGCTTACTATAGGTGTTTGTTTTAAGTTTAGTCTTAAAAATATAAACATTTGTGGCTTAATTGATTTTGCAAAAATTTTATCGATTTTCATTCATCTGTTATTTTATGCTAAGGTACCGAAGTACGCCCCCTTTTCAATGATTACATCATGCCTAAAAAAAGCATTACAACTAACTACTCAGCTTTTCATCCATTTCCCCCCCATGTCCATTGAGTAAATCTTTGAAATAGTGCTTTCATACTTATTTGGCTACTCTAACCCACTCTTTGCACTTCGTTATTATGGTCTATAACATACAATCTCCTAAATATACATATGAAATACTTTTACTATGCACTGTCTTTCTGTGCTCCCATACTTTTCTTCCAATCGTACAAAAACTGCCAAATGTTTTTAAGAAAGACATGCTTAGCGCTTGCTGACCTTATGCTGTCAGTAAAGATCCTTTATATGTAACATTCCTCAAAAAGTTCACCATTCATACTATAAGTAGTTTGCAGTTTCCTCTTGATTTGTACCACTAATTCTTACTCTACTATTTTTACTCTACTATTTTCATGACATTCAACTACAACTTTTCTTAGTTAAAACTAATTGTGAAACAACATTTCTAAAGAATGAAAATCAATAAGATGTTCAAAGGAGAAAAAATTGCTTTTTATAATGTGTCTCAAATAGGATGGATATATTTTGTAAACTGATTAAAAACAACAAACTTATAATGCCTCTAGTTGGCAATTTATTATTTTTGATGGACATGTCTGCTGTTTAAGTCACTCCTTTAGCAAATCTCTTAACTATCAAATTGGTCCTATTTTCCTTGAAAATGAACTTCTGATACATGCATTGTGCAGGTAAGAAGCTGAGAGGGTGCAAGCCTTTCTGGATATTGGTGTGACTTCCTTTGCACTGATAAGGCAATTAGCTGAATCACAATTATTGTGTGAAAGGATAAAATGGGATTTCTTTATTGTGTTTCCTCGGTTTTCTCCTTTTGTTTCATGCTTGTTGGCTGATTAGTTTATATAAACTTTGCTAAGATGTGGGGCAAAAAGGAGGTGATGAGACTCCAGATTCCTGAGAGTTCCAATTATTTGGAGGGAGGATTCATCAACTTTAAGTGGCAATATGTGATTGTGACACTTGGTTTTTAATATGCATGAATTTGCCATGCTAATTAGTTGCACGGTCATTTCTTCTTCATTTCAAACTGATTTTTAAAGTCAATCTCCTGCACCCGTCACAACATATTTGATGTCATGTAAACTGTGTTGACCTGCTAATTAAACACAATAATATATGTTTATTAAACAGATTTGAATGCAATTAGCATTAATCATTCCTAAACTCTCTGTATCTACTATGAATTAAACTTCAAATCTGTGTTTGGGTGTCAAAGTCAATTGAAAATTAACATCAGTCAGAAGACATGGAGAGACTGTGGAGTGACCCTGAATGCTCCTTCCTGTTTCCCCCTTATCACGCTTATGCTTTCATTCTTCCTATAAAAGACAGGTAGCCGGGGCTTCTGTTAATTTATTCTCACAAGTATTCTGCCAGCAGTCTTTCTCCTCTGGCCATCATTCTTCTCATGCCGCCTTTATGCCACCAGCCAGTATCAGTTTGCATTCATGCCTTTTTGGTTTCATCAAATCAAAAGGCTCCATGGAATATTAAGTAGCTGATGTCTTAATGAGGAGACTGCCAGGAATATACAAAGTTGGTACAGCTAAGACTGTTCTATATAGGCTATGCTGAAAACATACACTAATGATGGTAAAAGAATAAAGGAAATACATTTTAATGATTTATTGTCGGTTAATTAGTCTCTTAAACTGGCCTTAGGTGGGAGTGTGTGTATGGTTGTTTGTCCTGTGTAATCCTGTCTTGGTAACCACACCAGCTCCACCGAAAAACAGCATGGATGAGCAAGCACAGACAGTGGCTGGCTGGATGGATGATTCGTGATTAATATTGTGAATTTAACTGTGAATAAAGGTGTTGCATATCAAAGCAGTTTGTGTCATGTATCAGATTTACAGGATTAAAAAAAACTAACAAAAAAAAAATGCAAAAAGCCCCATAGTTGTATTTTGTTAATCTAACATAGCCTGGTATGATACATTGAACTAGTAAAAAAGTAGCTGATGAACTCAGTTTGGAGCATTATTAGGAAATGTGTTTATACTTTCATGTTCACATATTGAAGAGTTGAGTTATGCAGAACTTCTGACCGCTTAAATGTGTTAACATTTTTTTTTATTCAGCACATTTTTGTTCAGTCTTGTATGTCTAACTCTGACATACACGATATTAGTTCAATTGAATAATTTAAAAAATATTTAAGGGATTTCGGTTTTATAAAACAAAATGTTTCAAAATGTTAATCATCCGGTCAGAATAAACAAATTTATTGGCATATTGTTTATTTTAATCAATTTCAGTTTATTTCGATTCAAATTAATTTATATTTCACATGAACAATCCAGCTGACCAAAGTGCTTCATAGTAGGTACTGCATCAGTGGCAGAAAAAGGTATAAAGTAAAAACAAGGAGAAAAAAAAATGTTTTAATATTAGCTTAAAGTTCCATAGTTGATACTGTCTTTGTGCATCCCTTGTGGTACAATGATTATTTGCTGTTTAGTAGAGAGAACTGTCATAAATTTCATAAATTATCCAACATCATAGGTGCAATTGTAGAAGGTCTTTTGTCTTTACTGTTTTAATGGACTTCATAAGTGTAGTAACTGTATCTTTTTCTCTATTCCCGTTTTCTATTGCCCATGACTGAGGCTCAGAATCAGAGGGCAACAAACTGACTAAAGTGGATAATTGACAAAACATTTAAAATCCTTTGAATCAATCTCTCCATCTTGAGCTGAAGCCTCATGACCATGCCATAGAGGTTTATTTACTGCTATTGTCCATCTGGACGTGGCTCACTGCAGAGCTGCTTCACGTGGATCCTCCTTCTACACCAAAGGCCCATCTGGTGTGTATCCTGCAGTCAAGCTAGGAGGAGATGGGTTGCTGAGCTTTGTCTACCGACCCTCCCTCTAATACTCCTCCCCTCGCTGTACTCAGCTGTTACTGCATTAGTGGAGCTGTCAGTCATCACAGGCGGGGGAATGGTGAGCTCCAAGGGGGAAAGAGGGA